CTTTCCGAAACCCAATAATCTAACCATCAATTTCGGTGTGTGGTTGTGCCCTCGGCTCTGACGTACATTGACCTTGAATCATGTGTGCACCCTTGACTTGTACTGCGGCTGTATTCGACGATTATGGATCTGGCTGGACTAGCGATCAAGTCTTTGTACTTTGTACACACGAGCCGCTTTGATGCAACGTCCACTAGCCGTCGGCCCATAAGTGCTGAGGCCCACTCGAGAACAGTACACAACAGTGTTAGGGGTACCTCGAGAGGTCTTCGTGCAAAGGCTAACATCTGATCATGCACCTCAGTCCTTGGTGAAGAAGGTCGACTTACGTGTCATCAGTATAGGTTGGCTGCATTGGATACATGATAGTGCCAGGAAACATACTCTTAGTTTGCCTGCAGACTTTTGCGCATCACTAGGCGGCAAAAATCTGGGTATACGCATCATTTCCAGCTACGAAGATTATTCGAACAGTTTGCAGGAGAGTCGTCGGCTGCAAGCCACTGTCTCGCCGCGAACGGACATGTACCATGAATTCTGAGATTATTGTCTATTCAGAAGTTGCTTACAGACGAGAAGTGAAGTGATCAACCCAACTAAAGTAGGTCTCAACATCAGAGCGAAAGCAAAAGCTACGGTAAAACGTGTTGCCAACGCAGGACGTGCCAAGGCGGCAAGGGCGATTCAGTCTGAAACTGGCGAGGCTCGTGTTTTGACCAATTACCCCACCATTCCTGCCGAGACCACCCACGATGCTCTTCAAGCATCTCCTCGAGATCGCAATGCGAACCGGGATCGAAGTTGCATCGCATAAGATTGCCATCAGTCATCGAAAGCGTACGCACAAGGTCTGGGAGCCCTTGGTACGCAAAGCCGGGGTGGCGCCGTCGATCCAGCCAGGAGGGCATTGGGAGCGTACCGTTGTCATAGGACGCGTCTAGAGCAGCCTGATATGTAGCATCACGCTGCAAGATACGGAATACATTAGATGTATGACCCAAAATAGGGTTGCCATCCAAGATAAGCGTGTAGGATCCCGCTGGCATTCCAAGTGAAGGTAGGGCTGAGGTCTCCATAATCCACTTCCCCACCGACTGCGTGATGTCGATGGCCAGCAAACGATCGTCTTGGAGACTGTCGGGCGCGACAGAGTACATTGGAGCTTGCTCATAGTCTGATTCGGTTTTGAGCGACACCGAGAAGATCGTTTTCCATAGACTAACACGGCGTTCGACATGTAGTTTCGTGTTCGCTTGGCAGAATGGTATAAAGCCTCGACTATGACATTCGGGCTGCGCGACTGAGACCTCATCCTCGACGAGCACAATATTGCGAACAGAAGAGCGCTGTGCCTCGGTGCAAGAGTTCAAGAAGGAAAGCGCTATAGCAGCCGCAGAATAGATGTGCTGCATTTCGGGAACGTAGTAACACGTCGTCTTTGGATCCACAGAGTTGACGTCGGCAAGGCGTTGGAGCTCAGCCTGATCAACAATAGACCAAGGCTGAAGATATGCGTCCTTCAACTGCAATGGCTCGTCATACATGCCAGGCGTGGAATAGCGAGTCGGTAACGCCCTCACCACTTTGCAGTAGCTGGGGTGTGTGGAAAGTAGTCGCAGTATGTATCGCACAAAGTCATCCCAGATGGACGGAGCTTCTCCGAAACTGTTGCGGAGTGCCCAAAGCGTATCCATTTTCTCGTGTGCCATCCAAGTGTCGATGAGACCTGCAAATTGAGGATAAGCCTTGATTGCTGACTGTGCCATCTCGTGCGTGAACAGTGTTGGCGCGATCTGGCTAAGTAATAATCGTCTCCTTGAAGCGATCATCGAAACTACAGAATGGTGAATACAAGCTTGTTCCTGCGTAGACTCTGAATGGCTCGCAGTGAATGTAATCGCATTCAACCGAAAGGCCTGACCTTCTAATTCGGACGCGGCCTGTCGACAGGTGAGGGCCAGTGCGTGACAGACTGCATTCCCGTTTGCCTGCGTGATCCTTCGGGACTCCGCATGGTATATGTAACCACCATCGCAGCGAAGATAGTAATCGTAGATGATATCTCGCAGCTCGCGCGGAAGACGGAGGAAAGCTGACATGTTCGAAGTGGAGAGGAGCGGCGGGTTGTGGGGCAGGCCTAAGGCTATTAGCTCCTAGACTGTGGTGGTCGGTCGTATGCGCAGAGAGCGGATGACGAGGCGGAGAGCTGTGGATTTGTTGGCGACGCAGTGCGGACTCGATACGCGTGTGGGTGGTAGAGGTTATATACCGAGAGACTGCAGATGAGGACACCTAACCATGGGAGGCTTGGCGCTTCTGCTCTAAGGTAACCTTGGAACGAAACCTGCGGCGACCAGTAACACTGCGTGGATGAGTAAGTGCTCCGACTGCTGCCTGGTTCACTGTCGCGCTGGTCGGCACAAGCATCTGATCATACGCACGATCCCACATTTACATCACGCATCACTTGTTGGTCGCAAAGAAGTCTTGTTTTTTCGGGAGGGGCCCGGGTAAATGATTTTTTTAGATTTCCAAGGTGTTTGTGTAGTCAAAATGTTGTTCCAAAATGGTAAATAAGCAGCCGCCCTCTACTTATTGGTCGCAAAAGTCGAAAAAAGAGAAGTTGTCAACGTGATTCGAACGGTGGTGGCTGTGGGCGAAGTCAGCGTCAATGGCATTGTTCGGTTTCGGTGTTGAGACTCACGTCCACCCGCTAAGCGACCCGCCCGGAGCCTCGGCTCCGGCCACCGAGCGAAACTTGGGTCTCCAAAAATTTGCTGTAGGCCTTTGCCGAATGTGGTCAGCGTGGAATCATTCCGCGATCTGCGGCAGTCGGTACTCACACCCAAAAAACGACACCAATCGGAGCGAGTCCAACGGGCATTGCCAGCTTGCAATGTTGTCAGCGCATCACAGCGACCATGAAGAGGTCGAACCTACCCTTTTGGCTGGCAACGTATTGCGGTTGAGGAGGAGAGGACACTGTTTAGCGCTCAGTGCCTGTGCAAGAGCAAAGTGAATGTGCCATCACCTACCAGTACGTTACCGCAGCTGGAGCCTGGAAGGTGTGTATTTCTTCTCAGCTGTAAGGTCAGCACCGATCGCGCGTGTAAAGACGCGATAGTCGTACCTCCTTGCTGCTTCTCACCTTCAACACAGACTCTCGTACACCCGCCGCACCGCATACGAACGAATCGCATACGATATACTGCAACGCATTAGCTTCCTGCTGCAAGAGGCGCAAGCCATAACAGGAGAAGCTCACATGGTTAGCCTGTTCAACAACAAGAGGAATGGGTCGGGTCAGGTGCAGCTCGAGCTGACTAGGACACCACAATGGTTGCTGTGGTGGTGGACTGTACCGAAGAGTTAATGAGAGGTCGCAACGAAGAGGACATTGGGTGATGACATACTCGTGAAGCCGGTGTTCGCCGTCGTCGAGCAACCCCCAAAAAAGGTGAAGAAGGAGCTCGACGTGATGGTCTGTCCTGGTGTTAGTATAGTGCGAACAGTTCGCAAGCAACAACGTACGCCGGAGCTAGTCAGTTTGCTGCTGGAATTTTTGGTCGCGCACGACGTTGCTGCAGAAGAGCACGTGCAAAGTCAGTACATGTGTCACAGGCACGTCGTAAAGTCAGAACAAACCTGTCATTCGGTCTTCTGTACGCGACATACAGATGGAAGCAGAGCCCAGAAGCTGGTTGGGACTGCAGTCGATCAAGTACATCGCCTACGTCAATGGCCCAGAGGCGCTCACTGCGATATAGGTTATTATACTTCCTTGTCTACGCACCCCTTCGTGATACGTACAGGTGTATCATTTGGGCAACCTCCTCCTGCAGGCAAGATGCCCAAAGCACGGAGAGACCTGGAAGTGGCTCCGTGCTGAGCATCAGCGAGTTGAGCAAGCGGTTGCAGCGCTTAAGCCCAACAAGGAGCAGGAGGAGTTTGTAGCGTGTCTGTGGGGATCACTAGATGCTGTTAATACCAGAAGGCAGCACAAGCTTGATGTTGTTGCAGCTTACGCAAGCCGGGCATGGATGTCAGTGTTGTTGGCGTCTCTCCACATCAAGCCTTGATCAAGGGATAGACAGCTTGCGCGCTGTTAGTATAGTACTGTTAACTTAGGCCTCGGCGCATATATACCAGGCGAGAGAGGGCCGCGACCGCAACCCCGCCGGGATGGCGACAAGGATGACGACAGCTGGATGCAGGTCAGCTGCGCGCTCCATGAACCCACGCAGGATTTGATGAACTCACAAGTTGCGGTCAGCGGTCAGGAAGGTTGGGTTAGATGGGGTCGACTGCACGGCCGTCAGCCGCGTCCGGTATGCCTTTGGTGGTGACTCAATCGCCCAGTACTTACAGGTGTCGGGTGGGATGGGCGCGGGGATTGAGTCTGGAGGCTGCGGCGAAAGCTTTGAGTCAGCGTATGCGCTAGCAAAGGCCTGGGCGTTGGAGAAAACGCAGCGCGTCAAATCCGGGTCGCAAGGTGTGATGTGGGGAGGAAATCCAAGTGGCGGCAACTTACCGAAGGGCGGCCTCGTCCTTCTGAGTTGCTGCGGCAAAAGCTTACGTCAGCACACGCGCCAACAAAAGCCTGAGCGTTGAAGAAGACGGGTCGCGTCCAATCCGGGTCGCCAGGTGTTGCCAGAATCCAGGGTCCAGCTAGCGGGCACTTACCAATGGTGTCTGTTTTCGTCCGAGTGTGTTGGCTGGGGAAGAGGCGGAGTCAGTTGGTGATACCGAGTCGAGAGTAGAAGGCCCAATACTTACCGACACTGTCTGCGTGCCGGCCGTCGAACATGGGCCTGGAGTGACCGTCAGTCACTGAATCCGGGGATAATACTACCTTAAAGTGTACTTACGTAAGCCCAGGTGCCTGTGTTAGCAAATCAACTCTCAAAATTGTATCATCAAACTGTGTTCACATCAAAAAGTTAGTCCCAAAAGCCCGGAGGCGTAAAGAGAATAATGATAGCATTGGTGTGGCTGATGAGCTACTTCTTGTAATCTGCATTACCCTTCGTCCGTATAACAGTCCTCCTCCGAGGGAATTGGTACCTCGCTTGGTCCTTGACCGAATCGAACTGGTCGAGGCCGAAGTATGCAATGGCGTACGAGCTGATAAGGTCGGTGTCTTCTGTCATGAACCTGTCGAAGTCTGAGTGTGAAGCGGCATCGATCAGTGACGGTAGGTGGCGTATGGTTTCTGGGCACTGGAACATGAGATGCTTGATGGTATGGAGTGGATCTCCACAGCGAGGACAGCTCATGTCGCTGCTTTGCGTGGCACGACGCAGAACGGGATTCGTATTGATCCCAATGTTGCCGGTTCGCAATCCAAGAAGCATTGTTTGCTGTGCGGCGGCCAAACCGAAGTAGAGGGAGAAGCAGTGATCGCCAAAGCCTGTTCGATAGGCGGGGTTGAGTATTTTCGTCAGGCCGTCTGGTTTAGCTGCTTGCGCGCGCGCCCAGAGGTCAAAGCGCTTCTTCGCCTCCTCGAAAGCCTTCTTATAAGTGAAGTCCTTGACCCAAACCTTTCGTTTCGCTGGCTTTTGCCAGAGATCTTCAAGTTCGGCCTCATCATCATGATGAAGGCGACGCACCTCGCGGATGTGGCGCACATGTTGATCTACGAGAAGACCCATTTGCGTAAACGGATGCTTGTGTTGCGTGTCAAATTTGATGAGTTCGTATTCCTTGGAATCATATTTCTGACATCGATGGTTCATGGCGACCGAATGGAGCTTCAAGAGGATTGGAAGAACATGTATCTCTTTCTCTATCAATGTCACTGGCGTTTGCTTCCATGCTCTGGAGATGACAAGGAGCATTTCAATCTGGAGTGATTCCAAGAGGCTTAGTGCGCGCGGTGAAATACCGAACATAATCTTCTCGTGGCAAGGATCATTGAACGGGTCGTGGAGGAACCAGGCGGCGCAGGCGTATACGATTTGGGCGAGGAGTTTGCCATGGTAAAGCTGATGTCGCTTCTCCAAAGTAGCACCCCAAGTAGGACCGGAAATACGTTTGATCGCTGCCAAGCCTTTGCGGACTTTATCAACAAGCTGCTGACATGTGAGCGACTGTCAGACGGGGATGGTGAGGACTTACACTATACACATGGTCTACCCAAGTCAAACGCTGATCGAAGATCACGCCAAGAATCTTCATCGTCGGTTCCAGTATCTCGTCCTTTTCGTCGGACGTAAGGTTGTCGAAGCCGATCATGGAAGGCAATAGACTGTAGTCTTCGCTGTGTATTGGAGAGCCGGGCTTTGCAAAATGCAATACGTGGTACTTCGTTGGCGAGAAGTGCAGGTTGTTTTGTTCCGCCCATGTCCAAAGTCGGTCGTGAATCTTGCCCATAACGGCAACGTTCTCCTCGTAGGTCTTGCTGTGCACGAGGATGTAGGTATCGTCAACATAAGAAAACAATATGGCTCCGGGGTAATCTTTGGAGAATTGTTCCAGGAGAGGCGCTGCGTATATCAAGAAAAGCAGGGACGACAGCGGACTTCCTTGAGGTACGCCGATGTCAATCCAGTATTCATCGCCATCGTAACCAGGAAGATGGATGAAGCTACGACGATCCGAGAGAAAAGACCAGGTTATTTCGACGAGCCAGTCAGGAATACCCCTCTTGATCAACTCGGCTAGCAGCTTTGCGCGATCGATATGGTCGTACGCACCAGTAAGATCGAGACCAAGCAAACTTACCTTTTCACCCCTAATCCAGCTAGTATAGATTCGACCCGTCAGGAGCTCCAATGCCAAGGTAGTGCTCCGACCTGGCGCGCCGTATTGAAGCCTCGGAAGTATGCCAGCGTTTGTAAGAAGCTCCTTGTAGCGATCAGCCAGAATGCGTTCCAGGAATTTCGCCAGTGTGTTCAAAATCGCGATAGGCCGATACGATTTCGGTAGTTGGGGTGGTTTCCCGGGCTTCAGGATAACAACAGTAATGCAATCCTTGAATCTATCGGGGTGAATCCGCAGATCAAGGCAAGCTTGGAAGATCCATGACAGAATGGGTTCGACGACTTTACTACACATCTTCAAGGCCTCGTACGCAATGCCATCCGTCCCAGAGGCTTTGCGTTTCGGGGCATTCTTCAAGAGACCCATTACCTCGCCTTCTTTGAGCGATTGCGGGGAGAAATGAGTCTCTCTCTGGGGATCCAGGAACGGCAACGGAAATGTTGGTCTCGATGTAGACGAAGTATGAGAGTGCGATGTAGCGGGTGTGTTGCCATGGTCTTGACTTATCTACGAGGGTGTTAGTTGCCGATGGCAGGTATAGCAGTAACAACTTGGAAGCACGTACATCTTTCTCATAGCCGGTATCGAATGGTGACTTCCTAGGGCCACCTTTCCACGCTGTGAGAGACCATATTGTGTTCACGTACGATTTGACCTTGCCATCGTTGTCCTTGATGATGGTGGAACCTACCTCGAAGGCGGGAGTGTGGGTCATGGGTCGTGGCATTCCCCAGCTTCCAGCTCGTTTGGCTAAGTTGTGAATGCTGCGGCTAGCTTCGGACATACGTTCAGCAGCTCCACGCCAGTTTTGGCGCTTCTGCTTGGGTGTCGTCGGGGTGGAAGTCTTCTCAAAAGGGTTGTGTTCAAATACTCGGCGGACGGGTACAATGTTCTCGTTGGCCTCGTTCAAGATCTCGATAAGAGTATCCGTTATACGTGCAAGACTGGTCAGGTCGGCCTGAGCAGGCAACGCAATGCGTCTTTTCGTACATTTCTTCACGAACTCCTCATACTCTGCCTGGTTGGTCTCGTCCCACATGAATCGCAGGGCGATCTTGCGGCTCAAGTCCATGTCGATCGAAAGTGATGTGACGGCGTGATCACTTTCGTACCCCTTGACCTCAAGCATGTTCCAAACGGACTGGTTTGCTAGAGCACTACTCACCAAGAACAGGTCGAGTGTGCTGATCCAGGTATCCTTGGTGCGTTTGCTACGACCGTATGTGTGCTTGCCTCGCTCGTTCTTGCAAACCATTGGGATGGCGTCCATTTCCCTCACGAGAGTCTCAGCCTCCGGATCGTGCCTTTTCACCTTTGGGCCGCCCCATCGCTCGTGCTTCATGTTACCATCACCAGCACAAACATGCACATCCCCCTCATCCCGACAGAGAGCCATGAGTTCCACAACATCTAAGCGGTTGTTGTGGTTGTAAAAGTTGTGGATTGAGAGTGAGCCGTGCTTCAACGGGATCCGGACTGAAGCAACGATGCCGCGGTTAGGGCCATCTTCAGGCTCGGACGGTTCCCACGTGAGGGAATTGTGGACCAGGAATGCGACCTTTGCCAGCTTCTTACGCTCCAATTCCTCTTCGGTACCTTCCTCTTCGGACAAACCCTGCATAAGCTGCTTTGCAGCCTCCACTCGTTCGTCTCTCCTCTTCTCAGCCTCAGCAATGGCCTGTTTGTCCCGGGCTTTCAGATACGGAGGATAGTAGGGGATATACGTTGGGCAGTCTTCCTCTGTCAAGGGTACGGTTTTGCCTGTACCGTCATCTCCGCGACACCATCTACCGTAATTGGGCGGAAGCTTCCAAGCTAGCTCCAGCGGGGGATCCTGGATAGCAATGACGTCGGGTGGCCTGGCCTGTGTCTTGATCCAATCGTAAAGCTTGTCGCGGCGTTCCCTCGAGCACTTCATCTGAACGGAGACGACGAGACATTGGCCATCTTCCAGGACCTCGACCTTCAGAGAGCCCTCTGCCCTATGTTCTCCGGCGGTCTTGCGCTTACGATTCGTCGTCCTGCCGGTGGACTTGGCTGGTTGGGTGCCATCGTCGGTCTTCTGTTCGAACGTCAATAAGCTGAGTAGTGTTTGCGCGAGTTGTAGGTAGTCGCTCACTTTGACGAGAGGTTGCTGCAGAAAGAATAGTGGTCAGTTCATGCCTGGCTGTAGAGACGCTCGTGCTCACCTGCTTCTTCCTCTTTTTCTTCTGCTTGGAATTCGGCATGGCCCACCCAGCTGCTGTAGAGAAGCCGAATGCGTCACGTCAAGCCATGGCAGCGCAGAGTTGCTACTCTCTCCCAGCCTTGGAAGGCGAGTGGGGCCACATTGAGCCACGCTGCCAGTCGGGCCGGCCACCTTTAACAGTCACACAGACCAATGCATATCCGCATGCCTTGGCTATCCCGACAGGGGCCCCATGATCCGCGTCTGCATACGCTTTCCCAAGCTGCAGCGGAGGATTTCCCACGGCGCCAACGTCGATGGCAAGGCGAGCCGCAACTGCCGCCGTTGCCATGAAGCATGTCCAAGTTAGCAGGGCTGTTCGAGACGGCCTCTACAAGGTACGTGGCGTGTTAGTGTGCATGTACGCAGGTAGCGGTGAGTGCAATGGACTAGCTCGGTTCCAGGGTTGCTGGGCCCGGCCCCGGGGTCCTCGCGCAAAAGTCCCGATGTCAGGGTCCAAGCCTTTCTCCAATTCGTCGACAACAGGTGTCGCAATATTTTGTAAGACTCTTAGCATTCACTAACAACGCAATGCACCTACAAACCTCTTTTAAATTTTTATAAGAAGCTATATAATAGCGTTTAAGCCTCTCTTATTAGTATTTTAGATATATTATAAGATCTAACCTAATAAAAAGGCTGTCATTGTTGTAGTTGCTGCAGTAAATGCTAAGAGTCTCACGAAATATTGCGACACCTGTTGTCGACGACACTGCCTCATACCGTGAGACCAGCCGCCCGCGAGCACGCGCCTTTGTCTATCCCTTCCAAGCACCCTCGAGAGAACGCATTCTTCACAGCCTGTCGCGCCAACCCCCAACATACCAACATGTCCGATCGAGACGCTTCGATGCCCGATCTGCCAGATCCCGATGGCGAAGCTCTCAAGTTCGACTTCAGGACGCCGAGTCTGGCCACCACGCCCTTCACCTTTGACCGCCCTACACCAATCACACGCCCGACCGTCGATCCTCTTGCTGGGCCTACTGGTGAAGTCCAGAGGATTCTCGCGCAGATACTCCCAGCGGCACTCGAAGACGTCGTAAAAGGAACATTGGACACCCTGCTGCAGCAAGCCGTGGCAAGCATGGAACAGAAGCTCAGTGGAACCCTCAACACCCTCCATGCCGACGTTAAATCTCTCGACACGGCCGTCAGAAGGCTCGATAAAGCCAGATTGCCGGCACCTAAGCGCTCATTGGACTCCGTCATACCAAAGATTACCATCGAACTCACAGGGAACGACTATAATATAGTGGCAGGTAGAACACGCAAGCAACTGCTGAACCAACTGCACGACCAGTCCCCTGCCGTTTTCAAGCTTATACGAGTTGCACGACTTAGACGTAATCACCGCGAAGTCATACTCGAGACGGAGTCGTGGTCAGCGTACAGGGAGCTGATTAAAACTAACCGAATTGCTGAAATTACTAAAAGGCTCTGTCTCCAGAACTTGAGGTCAACAATCAAGCACGAGAAGTTCTGGGTCGTCTTGCTCGAGCACAACTTCGATGAAAGTTACCTGAAGGACTGCACGACACACCTTAACCAATGGAGGCTGGATACTAAGCTGGATATTCGTGGCACGCTATACAAAGATAACAGACTACTGTGGTATTTCACTACAGCCCATGAAGCCACTAAGGCCTGTCAACGACCCCTATGGTTTGGAGAGGATCGTGCACTAGCTCTGTAGGTTTCGCACCGTCAGGTTGGATGTTTCGTGTATTGACTGCCGACAGACCTTTCGATATCAAGTGCACCGCTATTTGGTGCTACCAATGCGCTAAACCAGGCCACACCTCCCAAGATCTTGTGTGTGAAAACCACCCCACAAAGAAGCCAAACCACCGTTGGCCCTGTCTGATCTGCGGCGACAAAAATGGACATGCCCGGGGACAGTCTCATCATTGCCCGAACAAGTCAAACAAGGCGAGTTATGTGTGTATCAGCTGTGAGGAAGAGGGATTACTTGATACGAATCATCGCACGGACTTTATGGGCTGTCCTTCGACTATTGCGAAACAGCATCGCGCAGACTGCGAGCAGTTTAAAAATGTCCTTCCGCTATGGGCGGCCGACATCAAGATTCCTTCCACTGAGGAACTAAGGCAAATGGTTGAAGGTGACGTTATTTGGAAGTCTAAGAACGTCGACACCCAGAGCACGGATACTGACGGGCAAGTTGATGGCGTAAATGTAGCAGGATCTACCGGGCCCGCCCGCATCGTCAACCTGGACGAGGCTGGCAAACACAAGGGTGACAAGACTACCACCAACTCCAATGGTCAAGACGGAAGAACGGCAGCATCAGCAATCCCAGTGTCGAGCCAAGATCCGACGTCGCAAGCTCCTCGAAATGTCAGTGAACAGCCGCCGCCCCGAGATGGATCCTTTGTGTTTACCCCTCCGAATCCTCCGAATCCTTCCCATCCACCGCGTGTGTTGGTTCAATCCACGATAAACTTCGGTCGTCCCCAGGATCATCAAGATATGATCGGAGAGATTGGTACCAATCTCCGAGTACAAGGAAATTCTGCTAGCGGCAGTGCTCAGCGGCCCACGCGGGAGGATCCTCCAACGGAATCTAGAAGTAAGAGTCCAGACAAAAGAACCAAAACAAATCATGACCATGTTGATGAACTTTCCGGGCTACCCGGTGTACACCATATCAACGATTCTGGGAAGGGGAGCCCGCCGCCAAAGAGGAAAATACCACAGGGAAGGTCTCCTAGCACCGCGACGCCGCAGAGCAGCACACAGACAGCAGAGCCTGCGCGTCCAAAGCCCCGACCCAAAGGCCATCCGACTAAGTCCACCAAGGCTCATGAGTCAAGATCGGAAGATGCCGGGCCTCCTCGAATCGATGGAGGTGGCGTGGTCGAGTCCGACAGCTCAGAGGTCATCGTCGGGAGCGGCGGAGAGACAAGCTCTTCACAGGTCTTTGATAATGACGATGCTATCTCGCAGGCATCAGGGGAAATGTCGTTCGATTCTGATTCCGATGCTACAGTCAATGGGGATAAGTTCGAGGATGCGCAGGAGTCTGTTGTCCTTGGTACAGGCAGCGAAGGCAGCCATAGTAATCACGGGCGTTATGACCGTTATTAGTATCATCAATCATGTCGTTCCACTCGATGGGCACTTTCTCATAACGATCCATCTCCCCTTGCCTGTCAGTGTTGTGCTTTCATCTTCCTAATCATTCATCATTTTTGAACCTCGTTTCGGCTTTGGCTACTGTAGCCTCATTGAGGCTTCAACAATATACCTCGTGCCCACATTAGGTGCAGTGTACGAGAGTACGTGTCTGGTCTTGATCGTGGGCTTTTCCTGATTTGACCGGTCCAAAGACGCGGCGCCTGTCACAATGTCCACGACTCCACGGGTAGCTCCGGAAAAAGTCTTTACTCGCGCTTCACCTCTATTAACCTAGTCGACGTTCACAGCTAACGCGGTGCGGGCTAATGCGTAAAACCACGATGTGGACCAAAACAACACCTGATAGCTTCTGCGTTAGACCATAAAATGGTAGCGATACTTCTCTGTCGCATCTGCATGCACTGTCGTGGATGTGCTGTAATGTGAGCTTGGGTCGTGACATGGGTCGGTGGTCATGCTAGATTTGCAAGGCTGCAAGATGCGGCGATATCGCCCGCAGTACGGCCATACATGCAAAGAGCAGCTTCAGTATCATGGAGGAGCGCAACACGTGCCATACCATTTCACCAGTCCCGTGTGCTAGAGGCTTCCTGGTGGGCTATAGACATTCGCGAACGTCGACATTGTGGCGGAAGAGCGGTGAAAAAGTAACAACAACGGATATGCAGCACATTCACATGGAATCTGCAGGAAGCCGTGCCGTATTTTGGGATAGATGCTACGTTGGAAAACTCTGCCTGCAGGAAGACCCTGTAGATTTCTCATTCAGGCCCGTCGTCCATTATGACTGCGCTCACACCTCATTCATCCTTGCCATTTGCTTCTCTGCCTAGTCTCCTTGTGGCAGCAAGTGGTGTACCTTTGGTCTCTAGACCTTGAGCGAAAGTGCGGATGAGGAGGTTTCGCACACATGTATGTCGGTTGGTAGTCAGCTACCCTCACTGCTCAACCCGCCAAGAGCCATATGGTTAGGAAGTTTGGTATCCAAAACGATCATGTCCCCAAGCACAGGCTAGCTAGAATTTCGTTTGAATCACGTCGTATTCTTGATTCGGTAAAACTCGAAACGAGATAGCAGACGTGTCAAGTAACCCGCCGCCCGTGTGCTTCAGGATTCGTCCGCTACAACTCGGCATGACCATTCCCTGCGTGCTGTCTCCATTATGTACGCCACTAATGCTGCAGTGCAGTGTACAAGGCACCAGTAAAGGTATTAGGGCGGCCCACGTCCTCCGCACTTCCACAGGCATGGGCGTTACTGTGACCACCTCCGACAGCAAAGCCTGCGATGTCGCAGTCGTTTCCGACCAAAGAACCACGGGCAGTTTTGTAAGAACAATGTGTCGATGTGTAAAACCCCTCAGCACTTGTTATAGATCGATGCGAGCATGCGGTGTTGCTGAGTGTCAGTGACGGACCATGAGCGCATGTATCGACGACCGAGACGATGGAGGGGATGCATGAAGAGCGGGTAGCTGCAGGGTCGGCGAGACTGGTGCAGAGCTGAAGACGTCCTGGTGGGGCAATTAGCGACTGCCTCCTACTGGTGAACAAGACATGAACATACCGCTACATCAATGCCGCTTGTGCATCCTTTATTCACGCCGAGGCGTCGAATATCATGACATGGTCGTAGTAGCGGTTGTGACAGTGGCCGGAAGCCTGCACGTGCGCGGGCTCAAAGCCAAACCCAGACGGCCGCATGGGAAGTACTGCAGCTTCGGCATGCGCGCAATACTGAAGGAAAGCCGACGTAGCGACATCCAGAGGTAGGTTCGCACTCTTCGGTGCGTTCTCACTGCGACAGTTCTCTCGTCTCTAGTATCCTGATCTATGCTCTGGTCCATCGTCAGTCGCTCGTGTGCGGTGTGCGGTGTGCCAGCAACGCATGCGTCATGACTACAAGGGTCGTTTGACCCAGACCGTTGCTACTGCGGGTGCGAACCATCTTTGCCACGGGGGTGGATACGAAGTTGATGTACGCGACGAAGGGCGGAGAGCTATGAGGACGGTGACCGTGCGGTCGGCGGTTGGCGGTAGGAGCTCGTGATTATCATTGGACGGGAGCTGGAGATCGATTCGTGGAATGGATTAAGAGGTGATATGAGCGCTTCAAGACCCGGGAAGAAACCTGGACATTGGCGGGTAACAGTGATGGTGCTTTGGCTCGGCCAGCATCATTCTTGAAGCTGGCGAACTCTGGAGATACGGATATCTCCGCACACCAGCCACACGGTGCCTTACCAGCACCTTCCCAGGGTCCATTATCACAATATGTCGCTACATCGTCGTGTCGCATATTTGCGCGCTGCTGAATGTGCCCTTTTGCGCTGGCGACATGATGTTAATGCGATCAGACTTTGACGGATTGCGCAAGTTCGCGCTGGCTATTCCAGCAAGTTCAATGGGATCACAGGTCTATTCACCTTCTCTAGGTGATGAACATCATGATTGTAAGTCCGGTCATAGCTCTGGCAATGGTGACTGCGCTCGAATCTTCCAATCCATTTGCGAACATGACCGTCCCTCATGTTCCTACGATCCCGGTGCATATCGGTTGGCGGTTCTTACCAGGCAGGGCCAGCACAGCCGATGTGGGGCTCCTCTCCCCGGGGCCGTCATCGCCTTTCGTGCACCGCGCTCGACCCTGATGTGTCGGCGGCTCGCATGTGACTTTGGTTGGGTACATTGCTGGCCACCCTCATTCGACTGTCCCTCGTAGCAGTGTCTTGCTAATGTCGCGCGAATACCTAGACCATCAGCACGGCCTCGAAGGCGGCCTCACGAGACCGACGCCCTCCTTTCCCGTCGACATGTCTCCCAGCTCGCCAGAATACCTTGCCAGCGCTCGAGAATGATTCGACATCGAATCCTCCAACGTACTACAACCGACCCTTCGAACGCGTCCTTATTCCCCGAATTCGACTCCTGTGGCCCGTCCTACCTCCGAATATCCACTTCAGCCATCGGTGAAGGGTCTCTCGAAGCCTCCATCTCAATCTCCTTGGAGCCATGGCTGAAGGCTTATACACGTTTCTCATCGACAAAGCTTCAACAGCAGAGTGGATGGCTACAATGTGCTGGATGGTTCAGTAAGCCGTCGCTTGGCAGGCTGGGCTGGAGCATCCCGATCGTACCTGCAGCTGTCTGCTCGCGCTATCGTGGGTTAACCCGCCATCCGCACTTTGCATGTTACTATAAACGGCTTGCGGACGCCGCAGGGAAGTTAGCTATGTGGATATGATCCGCTTCTTCAGCACATTCTTGGCCCTGGCGGCCCGTCCGGAGCCAGCTCTTGAGTCAGCCTTTGTCACCCAGACAGCATGAGCTTGGATGGCAAGATGTGCTCGGCTGGGAGTACTAGGAACGCAAACCCTCGCCCACACAGGAACACTGCGCAATGAACACAATGGATGGAGCTGCTGCAGTCTCCAGGTCGGCTTCCACAGAGTCACCTGTCCGCAGTCGCGTATTTAGACACGGAGATAATTCTACACAATCTACTACAACATGAGTGTCTACCGGGAATAGTAA